CGGGGTCACCACTGTGGTCATGGAAGGAAAAGGGGAGATCTCCCGCCGGGCAAGGTGTTATGCACGGGGAGTGGCCGACACTCCATGTGATGATAGTTCGGAGATGTTCTATATATACTGTTTATGATTCGGAATGTTGATAGCGTGATTTAGGCTTCGGTGTGTTTCGTTTGCGGTGCGACGACAGCGCCGCCACATATGTTTTCCGTGAAATGTGTGACATTTTAAAATAACTTTTAGCCTTTTAAAATCTTCATTTATTCCGTGCGCTGTTAACCCATATTTGCCCACTGATTCAAAAACGATCAATACCCTCTATATGCCCAGAACTATTTTGGACTTCCGATTTTACTAAATTTTGGATATGTTAGTGGTAAACTGTCGCACTGAGGAAGGTACAGTCGTAGAAATCTTTCTAGAAGGACCCGGCCGCCGCTTATCAATGCCGTACATTTCGAGCAAGGTTCGAGCAATACTACGCCGAAATTCTAGTGTGTCTATATCATTGCGCATTTGTCGTGCGAGAAGTGTTGCATTGCTTACAGCCACATAAATACGCCAGTAAATTATTGGGATATAACACTTTTTGCCTCTAATTGTAATCCTGTAAGAGCCTACATTATCTTCTAAACGATCCACGCTACCCATGTAGCAAATGTATTGATATACAAAATCTGGTTGTGGCACATCCACTCTTGCCTTTTGCGCGGCTGAATACCTACTTGCTGTTCTCAGGGATTCTACGCCGTACTTTTCGTTTCGCCCACTTACGGGCTTGTGGCTGTCTTGGTTGACTCGATAAAGGCACTTCCGATGTTGTGTTTCAACTAGCTAAGGCTGAAAGCGAAAGATCATCTTCTGACTCGCTGCTATCATTGTCTTTATTCCCATGAAGAACTAGGTCAGCAGGAGCCAGAAGTTGTCTACGTGATAAATTGTCGAATTTTGCATTTGTTTGTCGCCTGAATCTGAGTCCGAAACTAATCCATCTCGGGGGGGATTGTTAGTAAAACTACAATTACTATATTTATAAAAGACATTTGTTTATTAATATTCGGTAATTACTTCCAACTTCAATTATACATCTAATTAGTTATGATATAATTTTCATCTTTAATACTATGCGTTCTTAACAGGTACCTATCTGCCATTACAATCACCCCCGATCATCTCCCTCGTCCCGTCACACCCGTGTTTTCGCTTGTTGACGATCGAATGCCCGCCGGACAGCGCTCGCTCAAATCACTTCCTTTTATTCAGAAATATTTTAATTTGCGTAAATTCAGTGAAAATAATTATAATAAAAAAGAATAATAATTATTGGATCCATAATATCAGATTTTTTTGTGATATTTGCTAACAGACGGCCGTCCTGTGTAAGGAATGCCCTCATTCCGATTCGGCCATTCGAGCGTTTGTATGTCCCCATACGTTTATATACAATAATTTAAGTACAACTAAAATAAATTTAATTAAATCAGTTACTAAACAAGGGAATTTGTAATGAGATTTTTTTTAAATAATTATAACATAATCAATATTCTGATAAGTACACTTTGCTGGAGTTTGTATGCTTGTAGGTGACGTCATTGTAATACCCACACTAAAGTGCCGCCCGGTGGCTTTCGAGGAACAATTTGATGTCCATCAAATCACCAGATCTACAAAGTATACATAAATGTAAATTAACCAACAAACACATTTTAATTGATATAAGTATGCTTACGTTGAAATATAGGTTTTCAGTTTATCGTATGAGGATATGCTTATTTAAGAATTCTATAAAATAATGCTTCTTAAAAACTTTAATATTTTAATTCATTTATACAGTTACCAATCGGCGAGTACCGATCAAACAAAGATCAAACAAATTCGCTCCAGTATTATAGTATATGCGTAGTGTAGTTAGAGATGAGTACCGTTTGCACTTCGGCATCCTTCACATCAGTGAGTACCGCTTGTGCTTCGGCATCCTTCATCTGAATCAGTTTCATTATCATGTGAGTACCGCTCGAACTTCGGCATCCTCCACTTTATCGTGGGTACCGCTTGAACTTCGGCATCCTTCACCTTTGTTTAATTTTATTGAGTCTTTTGATTTCCTTTACTTTAAGGGTTCGACATATATCTGAAATACATCCAAGAAAGGACATTTAGGGTAGAAGGATTAGGGGAAGGATTACACTAATTACCGATTAAGATAAAGAATGAAAGGATCTGAAAACTTAGATGTTATTCCAGTAGTTTCAAAGGGCTGCGCGGTTTTCTTACTATCCCTGGTATTTCTGACTGTTATGCTTCGTAAATACCTAAGAAGTTTATTAGGATTTCTGAAATTAGCCCCCTGGGCATTAAGTCTAATGTTGTTGTCAAAAATGCCGTGAATAATGAAGCCAACAGCGTCTTTTCCTTTGATATTGCAGTGGTTGACTAATTTTGCTTTATCATAAAAATATTCTTCTCACGTTTCTTTTCTACGACTCTTTCCCTCAAGCATTTCAATTAGCCTTTCAGCATGGTTGCTATTGTCCGGGAAATTTCTAAGTAACTTTCTTTGCCATTTCTTCCATCTAAGTTTAACATTAGATAAGCCTTCATACCATCTACGAGTTAGACCTGAAAGCTTTGGTAATGCATGGAAAATTATTTGCTTTTCACTCCACTTGTAAATAGTAGCGGTCTCGTTAACTTTCCTTAGCCAAGCTTTGGTAGTTTGCATTTTTTGATTAGGGTCAAATTTGGGAATAACGTCATGTGCACCTATAAACGAATTACGTTCGTGACTACTGATAGCATCTATGAATCTCCGCAACGGAATGTTCGTCGTTTGATGTGCGTCTACTATAAAATTGTCGTTGATTGGGTTTTTTATGTGAAGATCGTCTTGATGTTGAACGAGAACTACAAATATCACTACTTGATGATTCCCACTCACTACTTTCTGTGGAGCTGGTAGAAGCAGAACTGCTTCTTGATGATCTACTATCACTGTTAATGTCTTTCTTGCAGCGATGGTGTTTTCTTGTCGACCGGAATCCGCTTCTGTGTTTTGTTCGGCAGCATCTATTTCGATGCGATTTACGTTGGCGTTTGAACCGCGACATCACAACATCCGAATCAGCATCAGAGCCATTTCTTGACCGTAGTTCTCCCATAGAGGAGCGAGAGCTACGACGTTTTTTACTTATAGATACACCAGATATGGCTTGCTGCTTTCGCAAACAAGGATCATGAATTCCATCATCAAAAGACGGCGGCGTAGCAGTGCCACGTCACATTGTTTCTTTATCAATATAATAAAATCTTAATTATATTCAAATTACCATATAAGATAACATTATGAAAATGGCGTTTAAGGGTTGGGAAGAAAGAAAAAAAGAAAAATTAATATAAATTTTTAAGAAACATCATAGAATTTGTCTTATTATATAAAATCACTTTATTTAAAATAAAACACCCACATGTCCAAAATATGAATTTGGTAATTTTATTAGTAGTGTTTAGGTATAGCTTAACATTGATCAACTTAATACTGTTTATTTTCCAGTGAGATTCCAACCCAAACTATGAGTGACGAAGGATAATGTGCTCGATGAACCCTCGAAATATGCGTGCTGGCTTCTTCACTGCTGTGGGCATACACCTTATCATTTTGTTTATTATAACTTCGATGTTAAAACAATTTCATCCGAAAACAAAATTTCGCGGTATTTTTCCCGCGTACCGCCGTAACGAAGCGCAGGATCTATCCAGCCTAACTTTTTTCAAACGCTCGTTCAAGAAATGTCCGGTCTTCTTACGATAAGCTCGTAGTCCTGGGTCTCCATGGATCACTCTTTTGATCGTGGTTCTGCTTAGGCCTATCTGAAGAGCTAAGATTTTTTGTTCACGAATAAGATTTCGTTGGATTCGCGCCTTCACTGCTTTGATGATCGCGGGTGTCCTAACTGTACGAGGTCGGCCGGTCCTCTTACTATCTTCGAAGCTTGAATCTTAAGTGAATCGTTTTTTTTTTTTTTTTTTTGTTCAACACCCCAAAACTGACGCCGCCCGGCCCAAAGTGATAGTGCTATAAACAAATCGTAGGGTTATTTTACATTATTTTATTTATATTTTTACAATAATTAAAAACCATGAATCTCTATATATTACAAGTCGTTTTTCAAGAGCGTTTGTTGATGTCTCCACAGCCATAGGACCAGCAGGTTAATTGCCAACATAAACCTTCATGTTGCTTGTGTAAAAGTTTCTAGAATCCACCATGTCAAATATCTTGATGCTATATTTGTCTGGCTTATTCAGCAAATATTGCCTGAATGAACATTTGCCGCGGAAAGACATCAAGCATCTCATCTATAGTTACGTATTCATCAACGCTGAAGTGTTCCTTGCATGTCTGATTGATTGTTTTAAAAATATCCCTGATGGGAGCCGGTTTGTTATAAAGAAGCCTTTCTTCTCTGGTTTCAATGCTATCCAATCGCAGACAGCGGAGTAGAAATCTAAATATTTGGAGAGACATAATTGCTCTTACTATATCTGTACCGGTTCCATCAACTGAAAATACCTAATTACTTCTAATTACTTTGAAGTGGCTGGCCTTCTGCGTACCAATTAGATACAATAATCCTAGAAGTGCTCTTATTTCTGGTATGTTAGCTGTGCATCTCGAAATCTTTCATACCTGCTTTGAATAACACCAATTTTTTCATTTGTATATAGAACAATATTGTCTAACAAGTATAAATAAATGCCAACTGTTATAAATAAGTTCCAAGGCTCAAAAGAATCTTTCATGTTTCGAGCCTCGGGGTCCTGGTAAATGCGAGATAATATTGTGCTGGCGTGTTCTTACTGTAGCATTTGGAGCAGTCTTTCGCCAAATATAAATACTTACAAACTCACCATTGTGCTGGTTACGATGACCAACGTAAAAGTTGGATTATCTTAGATGAGCAAACGGAACATCATCATTATCGCTGTTGTCAGGCTCTTGTTCTTCATCTTCTAAAGTTTGTAGACAATATCTTCATTATCATATTCTTGCTCTGAATTTGTTTCATGATCACTTTCTTTTCAAGCATGTAAGGTCCATAATCCGAGTCTTCATCGCTTGAGTAGTTAGGCCCTTCCAAACCATCACTATCATCACTGTCTTTTTCATTCTGCCATCCGAGTATCAGTCTGTCTTGCAATGTGTCCATTTTACATCAATAAGTATTTTCTCGTCTAGTTCTTCTCTAACCACGTTTTATTGTCGATCAAATGGGGTTGAGACCATGAGACTTTCACATTTATCTCTTCTTGGAAGTATTTTATTTTTAATATGTTTTTTAAAGCACTTCTTCGTTTGTAATTTTTGTTCATCAGTCTATCGTATTACCACTCTCTTCTTTTTATTTGTAGTTGTTGGTTTTGGTGGAGTATTTTCTTCAACCTGCTCCTTTTCTGCAGGCATTTCAATTTATTTATCGTTGAGTCTCTCATCCAAACTTTCTACTGCGGTTGTTTCTTCTTACTCAATATCTGCTTCATCTATTTCCTCATTCAGATTAAAATCTATTTCCTCTAGGATTTTGCCTTTAATTTGGTCAGATTTTCGATTCTCCATTAATAAGAACAATTTTGACAATTTGGCGGTTTGATATACGTGATCCGGTAAACGATACGACCTTTTATGTATTCCAGTTGTATGATCCATGAATGTTGATTGTTGTTCTAAATCACTTTTAGTCGCGCATAATACTTGTGATAGAGCGGCCAGATGTTTGCGGAGCCGAGTAGCAGATATAGCATCAGGATGTTTAGCTCCGCATTCTTTTGCTATTTTGTTTAGTGTTTTGTAACCACAAATGGTTTATGAATACCCAGGCCTAGCAAATAAATACATATTATCATCGGGGATAAACTCTTTGCGAATCGAGAGTAATATGTTGATATGTTTTTGTACGTCTGTGCGCCTCGGTTTCGTTTGCCGCGTATCAGAATTCTTTTAAATTTACGTACAAGTATTTGTTCAGATTTTGAAAAAGTCTTATTAAAATACTTCGCAGTACGAAGCAGCATCTCACAGTACTGCTCTTTTTCGACTGCTTTTGCTTTAATTGCCTCCTGGCATTTTTGAGCATTTTTTAAAAGATACTCTTTTAGAAGTTTAAGGTCAGAAGCCAGGGGAACTAAAGTTACTTTATTCCAATTTTTAATATTGAAGCCATGCGCCGCTGAAAGGATATATTGTATCGCCAATTATCTTTTAATAACTAGATAAGCGTTCTTAAATTTGATTCTGCCTCGGCATCTTGAACGCTGAAGTATTCTTCTTTTTTTTCCGTGCATATAAAATGGCTATATTTGCACACTGTTTTAGAGATGTAGTTATATTTATGGCAAATTTTGGGGAGGCCTATCTATCTTTTTCATTGTTATAAAAGGTTGTTGCATTAGTAGCTTCAATTTTTGTATCACAGTAACGCGGCTGTAGAGCCCCAAACAGAGTTTTGGTTCCTCTTTTTGCAATTCAATCTATGATTTCGCTAGTTCACGCATCTTTCGTGATGTAACATTGATAAAGTGTTTTTCGCGATGTATTTTAAGATATTTTGCACCGAGAGCGAAAATTAATAGATTTTTTTGCTAGTAGGGAGATTTTATTAGCTCTCATTCGCGGAAAAACTTGTTCTCTTAGCTGTATATCTACTTTCAAATGCCGCAAAAGAAAATTCTGGCCATTAGTTTGGGCATTGTTTGATCCGCCAACTTGTTTTTCTGCTCGTTTTCCTGTGACGGCACAACTCTTTTTTTTTTGTAGTAGCCAAAACCGAAAGAGCGTGGCAAATAATTATCTTATGAAGATATAGGACGGCCCGCATAGGTTTAACAACACCACTTGAGTTAAGAATGTAGTTTCCTTTTTTTCTCAAGGAGTTTATTAGCTGATTTATTTTTTTTTGCTCTTTTTCTGAACATCTGTTTGCTATGATTTCTAACGATACGATGCGCAAAATTTAAAAGTTGCTCTTCACAATAAAAACATTTTTTTTCGATATTCTTTTCTCTGTGTTTTTAAATTCATCATAATTAGATTTACTTACTTTTTTTTCTGTTATGCATTTATATGATGATTTATATATTATATGTCTTTTGTATCAATTACACGAAACCTAGTAATAACTGGAAATTTTAGTCATGATTTGAGATACTTAATTTTTAATAAGTTTTTATTGACATTTTATTACTTTTTAACAAGTCGCTGCTTTGGAAGGATACTGTCGTAACTCAAATTGAGTGAATTTTTCAGTAGAGCACTTTAAAGTTTTTTCAAATCTTCAAATGCTGTATTTTTTTATTTACTGCGCAATTGTTGATGAAACTTGAATAAAACACGTGAAATATATTACAGTTTATGTTTATTAAATGTTTTTAAGAAAATGATACTTATTTAGTACTAAATATTGAAAACGACTACTAGGTCTCAGACTTATAACAAAATAACACAGACAAACTTATGAAGATTACTGTCTCATTACAAAAAATACTAGAAAAAAAGGTTATTTTTAATAACAGTGGTGTTTTAAGAAATAATACAAAATATCCATTATGTTTTTCTCAGTGATACTGATACATTTTGAGTTGTGACATCTTAGCATTATTTATTTTAATTCAATTGTGTTACAGTACCAATTTGGTCGTTCTTTTACAAAAATGCTTACTGTATGGGACATGTTTTATGGAAAAATAAAGTATTAACTGGTTTTACAACAAGTAATAAATATACTAAAATTAGAAAATGAGAAAGTTTAACATCTTTAAAAATAGCTTATATTATTAAGTAATTGTTGTAGCATAGAATCTTATAAATTCTGGCAACAAAACATAAAAATTCAAAAAAAAAAAAACTCAAAATTGAACAATGTAGCTTTCATCAACATAAAAATTAGAAGAATTTTATAAATTCTAAACACAAAACAGAGTTTACATCAGTCTCTATTTGTCTTTTAAAAAAGCCATCTAAATATCTAACTATAACACTTTGAGATCATAATAATCAGTTACTAATACGCAAAAAAATATACTTTCAACGTGTCATTTTATTATGATGACTAACCCCCCTGTAAAAAAACCCTAAAGATTCTCATAGAATAATGAGTAACATTTTGGAATTGTATTATTTTGTAGTAAAGTAGTTTCTTCTTTTCACACACTTCCATCTTATTTTTGTATATTTGTGTCAAAACTATATTATTATTTTGTGTGTTTCTTGTTCTCCCTATCTTATCAACATTAACTTTATTAAAATGTTCCTCTTCGTATGATCTTTTGTAGTAGAAGGCATAATTTTGAGTGTCGTCTGGATCAACTTTTAAAATTTTTATATCAGTAAGTTTTACTGATTGCTTGTTTGCATTTTTAGAAAAATTCTTGCTTATAGCAGTTGCTAAACTTTTGACATCATAAAAATCGGCATGGGTCAGTTCATATACTTTATAGGGAGTACCAGTCTTCTTCACCATCTTTTATTGATCATATAGATCGCACCAGATTTGAGGCTTCTTTGGATTTGACGCTCAATAACAGAGTGAACACTATCGTCCTCATTTTGTGTATGACCCTTTATGAGGAATTTATGACAAATTGAATTTATGAAATCATAATTATGCTCAGCAAAAATGTATACTGCGATCAAATAATGATTTTTCTGCTGTCCGCAGCAATTATCTGAGTAAAATATCAAATCCAATTTTGAATCAAGTTTTTGGCGGTCTCTTCCAGGCTTTCAATGTATTTTAGTACACAGGTACCAATTTCACGACCACCAATTAAACGTTTAGCTTCGCCTTCGTGCCATACGTAACAGTTCACATCTTTGGTTTTAATATCATAAATAGTAAAGTTATAGCAGTTCAACTTGTGTAGGTAATAAAATGTCGACGTATCACCTTTAGGACAAGGCATTGCAGCTTGTAGATCATAAACGGATACTATACAATTGTCCGGAGTATAGTTTTTGTCATCATTTTGATCCCTTGCTAGTTGTTTTTCCTTTAGGTGAAGTTCATAATGATGTTTAATAATTTGTTTGTCTTTTTCAGTCGCATTAGTATAATTTGTACAGGTTTCGCATTGGTCTTTTTTAGGTTTGAAGAATGCCATATTGTATTCGGTACAAAATATATTGTAATATGCTAGATAATTACCAAAAGGTAAACCTTTACTTTTACATTCAGCAACATAGTCTCTATGTAAATCAGCTACAGTCTTGCCGCCTTCAATGTATGTTCGCTTGGTGTCTGCTCTGCAGTAATGACTATCAACTTTCGGGATAGAATCTAAGTGTTTTCTTATGCTATCTTTTACCAAAGGATCAAGATGAGCATGGTTCTCGTGTTTGCCTCTACGATCTTGCTCTAAAATAGCCATGTCTGACGTTTTATCTTTAACAGTGTTAATAACCCTGTCGTTAATATCAAGAGTGGCTTTGAAATAAGTTTTACAAACTCGGAGTTTATTATCCCCTATTGAAAGATAAAAAGCAAAATTATTTCCTCGATTACTGTTGTGTACTTTGTACGAGTACCTCGGTTTGATAACGGAAATATGTCGCATAATATATTCTCGCTGCCGTTCCAAGTCCCCCATATCCCAGTAGTTTTGAAATATCATTTTTCTCTGTAATTCTGTAATGTTTTCCTTACACTTAAATTTGCATTTATCTCCGCATGGAGTTTTCAATTGTCTCTCGGGAATTACTTTGTTTTTTTATTCACGTACGATTTGCCATGATTTCTTAAAATTTTTGCTCTTACAGATATCCAGTTCTTAGGGTTCGCCTTGCGTTTACGTCCAATTTTTTCGAAGGCTCTGTATTTGGTTATGGTATGGTATTTTTTTCTGTATCTTGTTCTGTAACTTGTTCTACATCTTGTTCTCTATCTGGTTCTCTATCCATTTCTATATCCTGTTCTGTATCTTTTTCTGTAACTTGTTCTATATCTTGTTCTCTATCTGGTTCTCTATCCATTTCTATATCTTGTTCTGTTTCTTGTTCTGTAACTTGTTCTCTCTCTGGTTCTCTATCCATTTCTATATCCTGATCTGTATTATTTTCTGTTTCTTGTTCTGTACCCTGTTCTCTATCAATTTCTATATCCTGTTCTGTATTTTTTTCTATTTCTTGTTCTGTAACTTGTTCTAAATATTGTTCTCTATTAGAGAACCAGTCTCTATCCATTTCTGTATTTTTTCTGTATCTGGTTCTGTAACTTGTTCCTCAACTCTTTTTGCATCCTCTTCCATGTCTGAAGAATCGCTAGACGATGATGAACTGTCAGAAGAGTCCGAAGAAGAGCTTGAACTAGATGAACTAGGTGGTATATACGATATTTTTGAAGGACCTGGTTTGGGCTTGTTTGAATAATCAATTTTTTGGTGAGAATTGGGCGTACTAATTTGACTTGAACTTGAATTTTTAGTCGCAACTGAAATCATGGGATCGATGTTTTCAGCAAACTTATTTCTTTTAAATCGCTCTGCGCGTTTCTTACTATTTAAGTCACTATGATCAGAATCGGAATAATAGTCATCGGTATTTACGTAATTGGGCTCCTTAACGCTGTCATCTGAACAATAGTCATGTACTTCCTGGTTTAGCGGATCTTCTGCATCTAGAAGCTTGTTGTTTTCAGACGGTAAAGGAGATAGTGTCGCACGTTCCGTCTGACCTTTTCTGTCCTCTGCTTGATTGTACTGTAACATAAACAAAACATGAAAAAGTATCCAATGAAACATGAATCAAAAAGTATAAAATAATATTCTTCTCGATAGTAATTGGTAATAAATATTATTATTATTATAAAATCAAAAATCCAACTACCTACACTTCATGTAAAAGTACGTACCACTTCTTTTATTCCCTTGATACTCAACGGGACATTGATGTTCCGGAACAGCTTTAGTGTCCGTCGGTTTGCCACTAAAATAAAAAGAAACAATTAAAAGTTAGGTAGGTATATACCTGCACTTTCACACAATTATCTGATTCTGATTCCTATCGGACCTAGATTCTAGGTATAGGTACCTATCTACGTACCTACCTAGAATACCTACTCTTTATAAAGTACCTAAGTACCGTAGTAGTAGAATCCAGGTACCTAGATTATAGCTACCTAGAATAGTAGAGTCGATAGGTAAAAAGAATACTAGGTACCTACTTAAATATTAGGTTCTGTAAGCTCATTACGATTAGTTAGGTAGGTACTCGTATCTGACATTTTAGAAAAATTAAATGCGTTTTCGAGTTTTCGAGTTATTACGAAAAATACTATTACAATCACGAAATAATTTATCTAGAAAAACGTTTTAATTTTAATTGTACAAATACTATCGACCCTATTTTTTATTATAAACAGTAATATCTAATTTTAATACATTTAAGTTATACTTACTTTTTGTAGAACAACGTAGTAATCCCAAATGATACTTTGTTTATGAGAAGTGTCTAAAGGTTCTTGTACATTTTTTTAAACAATAATGTCACATCTCGAAGTAATGCAGTGTTCTAGATAAATGCGCACTCAAAATTTGTATTATTTTGTAATATGACCATATTCCAGAAAACCAACCGAGTGTTCACTTCTAAGGACAAGTTGCAACTGGCGATACAACGCTATCTATAAAAAATGGCTGCCAAAATTGACCAATAGGTTATACAGTCTTTCGGTGGCGCCACGGCCGTAAATGTTGATATAGAAATATGATCTTAATTGTGTATACAAAACAGATCATTTTACGTTGAATGTTGTTGAAAACTTAATTTTGTAGTAATTGTTAATAATACGCTATTCTTCCAAAGCATTAGACAAATCTTGATCGTTTAGGTTTCATTTAAAGCTTTAGATTCATAAGTATATTCTGATCAAAACTGTTTCCTTTGTCAGAGTTATAATAAGCCTAACAAAAAAAAAAAAAAAACTAATTTCGTTTAACACTTGTAAATGAATCGCATATAAAATACAACAAAAGGGGTAACTACACAAACTTTCTTTTTTTTTAATTTTTTACAGATACACATGTCTTTATTTCCAAAAAAGAGTAGTCATATCTACTCCGTAGTGTAAATGCCACTATCAAACAAGCCACAGTGTTATGAACTTAATATTCCTGTTCAAAAAACATGGCTTGAAAAAATAATAAAAGTCAATTTTGCATTTTTTGCAATTTCCATTTAATTTTCCAATTAAAACGTGGAAATATTATTAATACCAGTAATCAAGTGTAGTTAGATTATTTGGTTTTCGTAAGTAAATAACTTGAAATTAATATTAAATTAGAGCAAGATTTTCAGACTAGATCAAATCAGAATTTACTTTTTTTTTATTTGGTTACTTAAATTTACAATAATAAAAATAAGACTACAAAAACACACTACACACTGAAGTCTAATCCCCTCCCCCCTATGTGGCAGCCATTTTGTTTTCTTTACGTGTTTACAAAAATATTCATATCTCTCAAAGTTTTGGTCTTACTGAGATAAAAATTAGCTCATTCGAAGGAAAACAATATTGTCTATCGTTGCCGTTACTAAAAAATTGTTCACATACTCGTATCTTTAAAGAAAAAAAAATTTACTTCAAATAAATATCAAAAAATTATGCGAATCGGCAAATTATTGTAAATTACTGCAAAAACAACCCCGTTTACCCTTTTTATTTTTTTATTAGATCGACAGTTTTTGAGTTAAGCTACAATAAAACATAAAGTTTACAGCTATATGTTTATTATTATAAGAATTATTGTTGTTTGAACATAGCGTATGCGCAAACACAAAAGGCCATTACTTATTATAGTTTATATTTAATTGTTTTACAAAATTGACTTACAATTAAAATATCTAAAGAAGTTGCTAAAAGTGGCTACCTCCAGCTTGTAGACAAGCTAAAGCTCTATGTGCCACCTGCAATGTGCAATCCGTCGAACGCTTAGTCTGGGATTGCTTGTTATTAGCCTAAGCACTCCTTCTTCATCTTCGGGCGATACCAAACAAGCATGTCCATTAACAGTAGTTTGAATGCCCCTTTCCGCTAATCTCGAGTGCACGTCTACAAAAGTTTGGCGACATGGTGTAGGCCTATTAGGGTACCTTCGTCGATATTCTTGTACAGCGCAATTTGCACTTCCATTGCAAAAGCCATACACGAAGTGTATATCGGCAATATGTTGCGATAAATATTGACGATTTGCCATATTTGTATCACATTCTTAACGATAAACAGTAATACAGCCATGTAAACAGCACGGACAATAAGTGAAAGTAGCGATAACAACGCAGGGCGAGGCACAATTAATTTAACTAATCAACTGTCAAACTGGTTTTTTTTGCTAGTAGTTTACAGTATTTTCGGCCTGCTCTTGAATGGAATACACCATTGCATCAATTCGAGAGCAGGCACCACAAAACACTATTACTCCTAGGCAGGTACTGCCAGTTGTCACTAAACAAAGGCCTTTAGTGTTTGCGCATAAGCTATGTTCAAACAACAATCATTCTTAGGGCCGATTTCACCAAACTCAGATAAGTTTTATTCCAAGAGTAATGATATAAGTTATTCTAGGATATCAAATTTTACATTTCACCAACAATTTAACCCAAGAATAAATAGTTAACCAAGAGATAAGATTTATACTCCCGATTTTAAAGGATTACGGAGTTATTCTTCGGTTAAAAATGGCCGACAGGCTGTCAGCTGTTAATTATTTGACATTTTTAATAGTCTGTCGTGTACGTCCAAGTTTCTTGTTCCTGAATTGCTGTTTGATTAATACATTTTTAGTTTAATTATTATTGAGAGTGTATAGCTATACATAATGCAACGTTTGAGAAGAATGATTAACGACAGTGACAGTGATGATAGTGAAGATGAAACATATTATGTGTAAAACGTCCAAGGTGGATAAAAGAAAGGAATAATTATTTTTATGACTATGATGACGAAGACTTTAGGATAAGATTTCGGTTATCTAAATCAGCAGCTCATAATCTTTTGATCTAAATTGAAGATCATTTGGAATTTATATCTGAGAGGTGAGTCTTTGTACCTATTTATACTGTTCGTAGGTACATAATACGGCAATGAATTGCTCTAAAATAAAACTGTTTTGGTTTACAGGAATCAATCAATTTCTCCGATTAATCAGCTTTTGGCAACACTAAGGTTTTATGCTACGAATAATTCACAATTAACGATCGGTGATTTTAGTGGGCTCAGCACACCTACAGCACACAGAATAATACATAGAGTTAGTGCTGCGATAGCGTCATTGAACCATGAGTACATAAAATTTCCGAATACTCAACAGGAAATTCGGCGAAATCAAAGGGAGTTTTATGGTATAGCAAGATTCCCTAGAGTTATAGGGGCAATGACTGCACACGTGTCAGAATTTCTTTACCCGGCGGGGATCAGGCAGAACTGTTTAGAAACCGAAAAGGCTATTTTTCTATTAATGTCCAGACTATATGTAATGCAAATTTGGAAATTATTGATATTGTCGCAAGATGGCTTGGGTCAGCACATGACAGTACTATATTTAATAATTGCTGCCGTAAAGCAAAATTTAAAGCTGGTGATTATGGTGAAGGAATTCTACTTGTAGATGGTGGATATGCTGCTACATCCTATTCTATGCCTCCACTAGCCTATGCCTCCACAGAATCCTGGAACAGCAGTAGAGCAACTGTACAACGAGTCACAGATTAGGACAAGAAATACTGTTGAAAGGTCTTATGGGGTTTGGAAACGAAGATTTCCAGTACTAGCTTTGGGACTACGAGTTAAATTAGACAAGGCTTTGGTTATAATTATGGCAACGGCTGTGCTGCATAACATATTGCGTCAACGAGGAGAAACAGTTCCACCTGATGATCGAGATTTGGTCCTTCCAGCACCTTGGGAGGCGCTCTTACAAAATGGACAAATAAGGTCTGAACAATCAAGTACTCCTCAGCGAAATAGAGCCAGAGAACTCCTAATAAACAATCACTTTAGGAATCTTATATAGTTTATTGTGAGAAAAAGTTAAATAATGAAACCATGTTTTTTTATTAAGTCATAGTTTTAATTTTTTTGTTTTCTCCGCCTTAATTGTGATATTAATATATTAGTTTTAATTTTCTCCTGTTTTAATACTTCATTTTTTATTTTAATGTCTATCTCAAACATTTTTCTTGTTTCTTCCCTCTCTTCAGCAGCAAAATTCATCTGCATTGCGGTAGCTTTTATTTTTATTTTTTGGTATTCTTCTAACGATGAAGATGGTAGAGCCGGTCTGCGCTTTGAACTCCAACTCTTACTTTGAGTAGGAGAAGTCCCTACATCCTCTTCTCTCTTACTCACTGCCCGTAGAGGTGCAGATTTTGGAGTTTGCAGCAGTTTTGGAGTGTAGTCTCCCCAATCCTTCAAAATAAAAATAATTTTGTAATGTTTTCACAAAATTACTAACATAATAGACTTTTAATGGGTTAAGTACCTAAACAAAAAATTCAGAAGAAATACTTTAGAATACTATTTTAATATTAATTTTTAGGTTACATACAGCTGTTTCTCCTTGTGATTTATCATCATTTTGTCCGCTTGTATCTATATCCATTGACAGAGGCATGGACATGGAATATATAGGAGCAGCAACAAATATGTCTGTTACATCTGGAACTGGAAAAAAAACACATTATTGATAAAATAACATTGTTTATTAAATAAAATTTAGAGATATCACTTAAGTGATGCTGTTAAGTCAAAGACAGTCAAAAACTGTGTAATAATAATAACAATATTTCTTTGACACTTATAATTTCATATATCATAGAGCCCTGACTCCCAAACTAGGATATCCTGTATTTCGGGAGTCATTTCCTTCCCATTCAATAACTCTGTGTCAAAAGTACATTAGAGAAACGTTGACATTTAAATATATGTCAACATTTCTCTAATGTACTTTTGACACAAAGAATGGGAAGGAACTGACTTCTACTCCTACTCAGTTAACACTATATACATGCGTGTGTGTGTGTGTGTGTGTAAGTAGCGTGTTTGTTGCACTGCACATATAGTTATTCATATGGAGCTATTAAATTTTCGAATTTAACATAGTCACATTCTTTAATTCAGTTATATTCTTTCTTTTAAAAAAGTTATATACATTCTTTTAAATGTATGATTTGAAGCCTTTTTGTGCACACTGTTTTATTTAGTATATTGTATAACTTGGGAGCTATGTAATTATAATTCCTTTTGCAGAATATGAATTTAACTTTGGGGATACTTATACATACAGTTCTTTTTGAATTTTGTATTTGCAGAACACTACATCTATGAAATGCGTCTAAGACATTGATATATAAATAATTTACGAACACTTAGTAATTTAGTTAACTTATATACCACATCTGTCAAATATCTATAAGGAAGCAATAGCTTTTAGTACAGCCCTTTGAGCTCGCTCTAATTCTATGTGTTTTAGCAGCGCATCCCCAAGAACATGCAATAACTGATAACGCTCCTGGCACGGAACAAGTATTTGTATGACCTACATAAGTGTTCGGGTGATTTTCTTTGAATACCCCCCAGTAAAAAAAAAAAAGCTTTCTATGTTTGTATTAATAGATTTGTGTTTGCAACTGTTTTCAAATTCTAAAAGATATAACTTTCTGATTTTGTTAGAAATAAAAGAAATATGTGGAGCCCAATTAAGCTTATCATCAACAATTATACCAAAATATCGAATTGAGTGTACCTTTAGTGGAAGCCAATGTGTTGCTAGGAATCTCTTCATTGATAAAATGATTATTACTCATGTTATCACTGTCATATTCATTTACCAGTCCAACTACCGTCGTAGATATCAAAGCAAAGATTTTTCTGTATAGCGGGTTGTCCTCAAGCTTAGGCTTTGCAGGTCCGCCACCTGAACAAAATATTAAACATTAAAGATAAAAAACACAAAGTAATGTCAAGGATGTCACAAAAATTCCATAGGTGTTAACATGGTATCAATAATTACAGCTTTAGCTTCGTAAGTAGCACGTAGAAATGAAGATTATTACCTGTTTGAATCAAGCTTTGCCTTTCAGCAGACGATTCTTTTTTTGGTAGTTTTTTCAGACTTTCCCACTGTGCTTTTACGTTTTCTGCAGTCCTATATCCAAAAATGGTTTGGGAATTAAATTCTTCCGATATTTTTACCCACTCCGCATTTTTCTGTTTCATAGTAACATCATCGGTACGCTTATTTTCTACTACACTGAAATGTTCAGCCACTAAATCCACAAGCAACATCTTTTCCGACATTTGCCAGTTAGGACTGCGTTTTCTGTCCGACATTATTAATTAAAATTGATATTGAAATAACAAAAAAGCGAGGAAAAATACAACGTGTATCAACAGTTGATGAAAACGAATCTGCTTCAAACTGACGTATAACCCTGCTAAATTAAAAAGTTTGTTTTGTACCTCGTCGAGAAGGAAAGCAATGACATACTTAATTTGTTTTCTTTATACAATCAATCACTTGCTCATTCAAATAGTCTTCCACAGATAAGTAAAACCGTTATTCGAAAGAATAATTAATCTGAGGCTAACTAATCTGTTGTTTTGCATGGTGAAATGTACTGTAAGTTATCTGAGAGTAAAAGTACGGAATATCTTTATTCTTGGGTTAGTTAATCTTAGACAACGACGTCGTTGGTGAAATCGGCACTTAAGGTAATAAACATACAGCTGTAAACTTTATGTTTTATTGTAGCTTAACTCAAAAACTGTCGATCTAGTAAAAAAATAAAAAGGGTAAACGGGGTTGTTTTTGCAGTAATTTACAATAATTTGCCGATTAACATAATTTTTTGATATTTATTTGAAGTAAATTTTTTTTTCTTTCAAGATACGAGTATGTGAACAATTTTTTAGTAACGGCAACGATACACAATATTGTTGTCCTTTGAATGAGCTAATTTTTATCTCAGTAAGACCAAAACTTTGAGAGATATGAATATTTTTGTAAACACGTAGAGAATATCTCAAGAAGAAAACAAAATGGCTGCCATATACAGGGGGAGGGGATTAGACTTCAGTGTGTAGTGTGTTTTTGTATTAAAATAGCTGTATTATAAGTACCTAGAATATCGCTAGTCCGTGACCGGACACACTGTATATATATATATATATATATATATATATATATATATATATATATATATATATATATATATATATATATATATATTGCATCCAGACACCGTCGCGGGCGCAGCATTCAAAGTTTTGCACAATATTAACCGCGTGAAGCGGGTGCGGTACGAGGTGTTCGCAACCTCGTAACGCATTGTATTAAACTTTTATTTATTCAGTGCGGTACGAGGCCTAGAAAATCCGGTATTAAGGTAGGTGATACACCAAAAAACTCGGCATCAATAGCACATCTCAGATATATAGTTATCTCTTTCCTAGACTGAACCAAGTGGAAGTTACGCCTCACGCACGACAGAGAAGTTTAAGTTTTTCCTTACCGCTATAAAGACGAGACACGGACGAGGTGTTTCAAGTCTCGTTTCGCACTCATCGTGTTAATAATTTCATCGGTCAAAATTGTTATTTTTTTACCTTCGGGTTCTAATTTTATTTTGTCGGTTGTTCCTACGATAATTTTATCTTAAAAATGAAAGATTTCGAGCGTTATGTACGTGTATATTGTACATGCTAATAATAGTTAAACTTATTTAGATCCTGTCTAGGATAGGTATATGATTGCCTATTTAAATCGCTAGTTAAGATTGTACCTTCGAGATTCTACTTTGGTATCTAGGGTAAAATACCCATTTATTGGCACTTTAAGTGGCTATCCCACACTTTTAATTTTGCTCATATAATATAAATTTAAACAAAGAAGAGGGATTTAAACTCTTCTAATATCATTAAAGAACGTTTTTCAGTACATATTATTTTAGATTACGCAGTTTGATTTTTTTTAAATTAAATGATGTTGAATGGAAAGACCAATCATTAGCATAGAAAATCCCTTTATTGGCAGGGAACATAACCTATTATTGCCTCACCTATACGTATTACATTATGAGCATAACATACCTGGGTAGATTTATGTGATATTACCTGATTTCCTGCTAATGGATTTTTTAATTTAGGCATTGGTTACAGAAATAAAATACTAGAAGAGTATTAAAAATGGTATTTATTTTTATCAAAGAAAATAGTTTAGGAACTTCTTTTAAGTTTCTTACAAAATATTATAAAAAATTAAGTAATCATTAACAAAATAATAATAAAATTATAAAAAGTAAATAACTGAGATCGTTCATAATAATCATCTAATTCAGTCAAAATTTTGAGATTGTTGTATCTTTGTATCAATTATCTAATTCAGTCAACATTTTGAGATTGTTGTATCTTTGTATCAATGATCTAATTCAGTCAACATTTTGAGATTGTTGTATCTTTGTATCAATTATCTAATTCAGTCAACATTTTGAGATTGTTGTATATTTGTATCAATTATCTAATTCAGTCAACATTTTGAGATTGTTGTATCTTTGTATCAATTGTCTAATTTAGTCAACATTTTGAGATTGTTGTATCTTTGTATCAATTATCTAATTCAGTCAACATTTTGAGATTGTTGTATCTTTGTATCAATTATCTAATTCAGTCAACATTTTGAGATTGTTGTATCTTTGTAACAATTGTCTAATTCAGTCAACATTTTGAGATTGTTGTATCTTTGTATCAATTATCTAATTCAGTCAACATTTTGAGATTGTTGTATCTTTGTATCAATGATCTAATTCAGTCAACATTTTGAGATTGTTGTATCTTTGTATCAATTATCTAATTCAGTCAACATTTTGAGATTGTTGTATCTTTGTATCAATTATCTAATTCAGTCAACATTTTGAGATTGTTGTATCTTTGTATCAATTATCTAATTCAGTCAACATTTTGAGATTGTTGTATCTTTGTATCAATTATCTAATTCAGTCAACAATTTGAGATTGTTGTATCTTTGTATCAATTGTCTAATTTAGTCAACATTTTGAGATTGTTGTATCTTTGTATCAATGATCTAATTCAGTCAACATTTTGAGATTGTTGTATCTTTGTATCAATTATCTAATTCAGTCAACATTTTGAGATTGTTGTATCTTTGTATCAATTATCTAATTCAGTCAACAATTTGAGATTTGTTGTATCTTTGTATCAATTATCTAATTCAGTCAACATTTTGAGATTGTTGTATCTTTGTATCAATGATCTAATTCAGTCAACATTTTGAGATTGTTGTATCTTTGTATCAATTATCTAATTCAGTCAACATTTTTTCTATTTCAGCAGTGGTATATGTTCTATTACCAATACTCCCTCCTCTATGCTGTCTGTCTAAGATATCAATTAACTTCTGATCATTTTCTTTATTTTCAACAATGGTATCTTCACTACCAAATTTATAAAATTTCTCAGAAAATAATATCTTTGATATTTCGTCATTAGCCTTATTTTTTTTGTTTCTTTGGCGCCGGTCGTTTCTCATTTTCTATTTTCTTTCGTTCCCTTTCTTCTTTTCTTTTCTTGATCCCTTCTGCTTTTTCTTCTTTTATTCTGGTTTTTTCACTTTCTTGTGCTTTCCACTGTGCCGAAGTTAGTACAAACGGGGTTTTTACAGAGTTTTTAACTCCTTTTCTTATCGGTGTTAAATTAAAAGATATTTTGATATTACCTAAAGTAATATCAAAATATCTTTTAATTTAACGGGAGTAAGATTTTTCATGTTCATTGAAGCTGTGAGGGATGGATTACATTGAACTGAAATAATTTGTACTGATTGAGACTTTGGTAAATCTATGTTCTGGTCTTCATGTGTATTATGTATTTGAACACTGTAGTTTATTAATTCAAAATGTGGTTTTTGTGATAAATCTTCAATTGTCTTATTCCCTTCAACTGAGCACTCTACGATTTTATCAAAATCAATTTCTTCTGAAATAGGGACTAACTTTGATCCTTCAGGTTCAACAATATTATTTGGCCAATCGTTAATAAATATTGGCATATTCTCAATGTCCAAATGACTAAAGTCACCATCTTTATTTATGATTTCTAGATTTTGTTGTTGAGAAAAAAAGTAGTTTTGCAGTAGGTGACATTTGTGCTGACACAATTTCAAAGTGATTCTTGTTTGCAAGAATATATTTTCTTATAAAGGCCATCTTATTATTTTCAAGTTTCTTCAGCTGCATTAAGATTGATTTGAATTCTTTAAGTTTTGTCAAAGTTACTTAAGGACCCGAAAAAAGAAATATAACTTCAGTGCACAAACAAAATAGTGGAACTTAATGGAAAATAAATTTCCAATAAAAATTTGTTTAACAAGCAGTGAGATTGATATCAAATAGTATTGTAAAAGAAACTACCTTTTGGTTTAGTTGATTTTCTTTTATGCTACTTATTGTGTCCTTTCTGCTTACTATGTTCTTAATGTCCTGTAAATTAAATATTCGTTATGGCAAAAAATTAGCCAAACCATTCATATAAAATTCTTTCAATAAGACAATTTATATTTTAACTTTTCTGAATATTTTTTAGTCACTGCTGGGCATTCACAGTTTATTTAATAAATAAGATACAAACCCTTCATCTCAATATCGAGTAGAGTTTCTTAGTACCAGATGTTGAAGGAAAAGCAGGCATAGTTACAGATTACGCATGCAGTTGTTCTGAAAATATATTTTTATTATATATTTAAAAAGACATCATTTTGGTATTCTGTATATTGACAAAGCATTTACATAATTTTAAACCAATTTATGTTATGACTCAAAGAACTCAATACTATTTAACTTTTCTGTTGGGTATTCCTAGCTTATAAGGAAAGATATAAACTTCTTATCTCAGTATCCCGTAGAGTCTCTTGAACACCAGATGTTGAAGGCAGGGCAGGTATAGTAACAGGTTCAGTAAGCAGTTGATCTGAAAATTAATTTTTACTACATGTAAAAGGATAATTATTATAAGATGGTCTGTGTATTAAATATTAATTTCACCAAGTTTAATTTTAATAAGTAAATTATGACTAACAAGTAACATATTTTTAACTTTTCCACTATTACCCCATTCATGAATAGGTTACGAACCATTTGTCTGATTGAGTCTCTTGAACATTCAATATTAAAGGTTGGGCAGGTGCTTTTACTTCAACTTCAGTAACTGCTTGAGGTGGAAAAAATGTCATCAACATTTTAAATTAAAGCTCAAGACACCCATCACACTGGTTTAGAAATAACCTTAAATTAAAATTTAAAAAACCTTTTGCACAAAATACGTAGGAGTTTATGATATTTAAACGGCTAAACAGGTTTTCTTGAATCATAGCTAAGAACACTAGATCAAATCACCTTTCAAACAAAACAAAAATAAATCAAAATCTAAAAAAGTTATAATAAGTTATAATTTTTTTATTAATTTCATTGCGGCAAGTTTCTTCCCCTTGCGCCAATATATTTTCTGTTTAGTACGAGTAAGGAAAAATCGTTTGCTGCTCATGAATGGAAAGTGCCAGGCTGATGTAGGTTTTATGACGGGAGGATAAGCAGCGTGCCTATCGTAAACTGGTATCGTTGTCAGAGTGATGCACATTCCATTTTCTTGAAAAACTACCACTTCTTTGGTTTTTAATGTCCTCTCAATTTTTGCGACAACACGATCGGGAGAAATAAAGAAGTAAAAATATCTCAATTTTTTCACATTCCGAGGCGCTTCACTCTACAACCATTTACCTAGTACTAGCATACTAACCATTCCCGTATTTATATTTTGGTCGGAGCATCCATCACAAACTACTCTTATTTTTATTGTCAACCAGTTTTGTTTCCAGTTTTAAAGAAAATCGTACACGATTCATAAAAAGTGTGTAGGTACGAAATTACCCTTCATAAATTTGCTATCAACCTCTTGTACATTCAAAAGCGAATATCACTTATAGTTTTCGTGCAATCTGCCACGAAATATGTACATTTTAAATCATTTATCGATTTTTTTACTTCAAAGTTTAATTTTCTCTAAAATTTTATATCTACCTTCCAGAATTTGTTAAACAAAATTTTATTCAATTTGACTTTGTCTCAGCTGTGAGTCATGCAACGAAAAAATATATCACAGACAGCTTTCAATTTTCGTCTCGACAAACATACATCATCACAAATGCCTGTGAAGCAACCTTGTCGACCTCTAAGCCTCCAGTTCCGTAATTGACTTAACCTAAAGTTTTTCTACTATTTAAAGTAATTTCTGAACTGGATTACATCTGTGAAAATATTTCAAGATTGCTTTAACTCTATTTATGGTATCAGTTATTTCGTGTTCGTGCAAGATAATGAGCGCCAACCGCCTAGCAGAACAGCAGCCATCATATTGGCAGCAATGTCCCTAACAATTAAATTGACATTCCGTTGTATGTTTCATTCTAGGAACTTAGCTTCTAGAAAGCTCTTAAGATTTTCAATTGTGTGCCTCTTCTTAAATTCAATATACCCTACCATGACCGTACAATTTGTGTAATTCTGTGTCAGTGAAATCCCGTTTGCGTCGTTCACAGTAGATTTCTAGGTGTCAATTGTTATACAAATAGCTACCGCTTTTGCAATTTAAATTTAACTGCTTCCTTATATTTATTGTGTAACTTAGGAAGCAGATTTTCAGAGAGATTCTTACGCGTCAGCAGCTTATGCCTGTAATTTATCATCTCGATGAACTTACAAAAATCAACTTTTTTCTACCTTTCGTAAGGTATGGTAACTTTTAGCTATCATTGTATCATTCTCAATGATTGCTCATCAAGTTGTTGCTTGTCGTCTGAATTTATGTAAAATTCTCACTGAATGAGAAATCAGCTCTGCCGAGATCTCACTATCCACATTTTACGCTTGTTAACTGTCTGCTACAGTTTAGTTGAATAGTAGGATGGATGGTTTTCATATGTCAGGCTTCTATTAAGCAGAAGAAATTGCCAATATTCGGGAGCAGTACCCATATTTCGCCTTTTTGCCGGAAACCACATGTTCAAAGTGATTCCAAAGCCGGTTTTTGCCTTTCGTCTCCATAATAAAAACATATTTTCACTTAAAACTTAACGCTTAGGTTTATAAATGTAAATATATACCCGGTTTAAAGTTACAAGTTATTTCTTAAATTATCAACATAAAATTTATACACAGTATTTGCAACTAACCTTTGAACTGTTGGATTAGCTCCCGATCCCGACTTGCACTCGTATAATTTTCTATGACATTTCATCCATTCGTCTCTCATAGATTTCCACTTCACATCCAGTTTTCCTGTACGAGTACTCGTAATTACATCAGAACGGTCTTCTTAATGACGACACGTTTGGCTCAGTGTGTAGTGAATCTACTTGCTGTGCCAGCGGTCGCGGGTTCGAGTCCCGCTGGGGAACTTGAACCCGCTGTGTTATTAGCACGAATGGTTGTGTTCCAGTCATGGGTGTTTATATTTATAATATGTCCGTATTTAAAGTCATATATCAGTCAGTCAGTATCTGGTATTTATAACATAAGCATATCCACCATAACCATATCCTTTTCCTCCACCAAAGAAATAAACGTTTCTTTATTTATGTCATCCATTATTATTTAATTAAAGTACCTGTCACGCAACTAAACTTGATCAGAGTCAATACGACACTAGCCAAAGCGCGGCAGGGTTGCCGTTTTACAAATTTTAAAGTCCCTAGACTAACAGAAAAAATCCGCCAGGAACAGGATTTTTCTTTTTCTTAAAATCCGCTAGATGTCCCTAGGTACATTTTCGTGCTACCATTGGGCTAACTGAAAAATCTTGCCAAATGGTATATATAAATGAATACCGAAAATTTAAATGTATAAATTCAGAAAAACCTTAAAAAGAGCGGACTCTATTTCATATAAATCAGTTATTTATAGTGTAGGTTAATGACATGACAACCAAAAGAAAAATTATTCATGTACAAAATAAAACAAAATTGTAAAAAAATAATTTTGGCAACACTACCGGTATCGTGGGTCATATTTTACCCATACCAAAAAATCTGTTGTAGAACGTAGATTTTTTTATTATTTGTATAAAATATGGTAGTTATGAAATAAAAAAAAAAAACATTTTTTTACAAAATTATCTTGTTTTAATTTTAGAATATAAAAAGTTATCATGTTTTACACGCATTTGTAACTAACTTCATTTTTTGGCACTTTTTGGTATATTTATGGCACTTCTCATACCTTTATAAAACAAACAAATAAATTACTTACATACCCTGTTTTCCGTTGCAATATAAATGGTGTTACCAAGTCTAAACCTATTTTCCTAATATATTTGTTCCTTTTCAGGCGTTTTTCAGGATTGGAGGCTTTCCAAAGTACATATCCATTAGCTGCAGAAATATTCAATATTGCCCAAAAATTACAGTTGGCCATCTCTGAGTTCTTCTTGCTACCGAGTAATTCGCACATTTTTGGTCTAAAGAATCAACACCGCCTTTGGTACTATTATGAAATTGAATGATTTCTGGTTTGCCGCTTTTTAGTGTCGACGGATTCATCATGGTGCATAGTTGAAATCATGATTACACTTTGATTCTTTTTAGGGACAAAGGAGCAAAGAGTTTTATCATTTGTGAAACCAAATGAACTGGAACCTACTGGACGAGTTTTATGCGATAAGAATTCTGGAGGGATTTTTCAGTTTATCGACTAGTTCGATCGAGGAAAACCAGTTGTCTGCCGTGATATTTCTGTTTGAATTCTTCAAAGGTCCGACTAATTCTAAATCTGTGCGTGTAGGTATAGATACATCAGTTCTTCTTGATTCTGTTTTACCAGTATATATAAAAGCATTGTACAAATAATGAGTTCTAGAATCGCAAAGGCATAAAATTTTGATCCCATATTTCGCAGGTTTTGATTTCATGTATACTCTAAATAAGCATCTTCCTCGAAACGGACACAACATCTCATCTACAGTGATATATTCAGAACAACTGTAGTTTTTTTGGCAGTTCTG